GTATCTAGTCGAAGACATTACCCTCAAAAATTGAAAAAAATTCCCTCGTTCCCCGTAAATGGGGGAAACCTCCAAAAAAATTACAAATTTAAAAATCGCTAATTTTCGAAATTTTTTCCATTTTTTTTACTTAAAAGTGCCATAACTTTTTCAAAAATGAACATATCAATATAATTCTTTTTTAAATAGATGCATAATATCATTACCTTTCATTTTGTATATTTTTTCATAAATTTAACCCTTAACCTACCCACAAAGGGGGAATTAAAATGACAACTTTTTCACAAAAAATTAAGTTTTTCAACTTAACTTTTGAAAATGTTCCGGAAGGTCTGATACTTTTATATATATCTTAAATTAAAGTTAATGTACTGTACTTTATTATGCAAAAAAAAATTTGCGGACTTTATTTTGTCTTCACGGTGAAAATGGCTACCGAATGCTATTATTGTGTGAAAATTCTCGATTTTATTTTTTACATTTTTAACTTTATAATGATATAACTTATTGAAAAGTGTATGGATCAACATAATTTTTTTATGAGAAATAATATTTTTTAATAATCCCTTTTTCATTCGACATACTTTATCTTAATCAGGATATTAATAAGAAATTAGCAGATCATGTAGCTTTTGGAATAGTCCATCAATTTTTTAAAATTAAACAGTGTCTAAAGATTTGCATCGAAGCGTTTTATTTTTATAGTGATTTTAATCACTGTCAGATATCATTATACTTGATCCAACTATGCCACGTCACCACTGTGCCGCGATCCCCCTGTGCTGAGTTTTTTTATATTTGCGACACAAAATATAATTGTATATTATATAATTCTAGATATATTAACAATTCTTCTTAAAAAACTACTTAACCGGAATCCTGGTAATAGAATACAAATGATAAAGATTTGTTTATTTATTTGTATAACACAACAGCAATAACTTCACTAGTGCAGTTTATTTTAAACCAGTCATAGTTTAATAGTTTTATCGAATATAAGTTTAAAATAGTGGTGTACTCGTATTACTGTAATGTTGATATTATTTTATTAGGCAGTCGTTAAAGGGAATTTTAGTCATATGAATTGACGGCTAAAGAACACCGTGACTTTCTCATATAGTTCTTTCGTCACGTCTTTTCTACGTTAAAAAAACTTAAAATTGAACTGATTTGACGTAAAATATATAAGTTATTATTCGGACCAACCTTATTTGAATTTAATGTAAAATTAAACTTTTATATAATGCTTAAATGTTAGCTTCGATGCGAAGCTGAGAAGTTATTAATTTTACTATTATGTGTTTTTTTATTTTTTTATTTTTTATTTTTATNTCTACGTTAAAAAAACTTAAAATTGAACTGATTTGACGTAAAATATATAAGTTATTATTCGGACCAACCTTATTTGAATTTATTGTAAAATTAAACTTTTATATAATGCTTAAATGTTAGCTTCGATGCGAAGCTGAGAAGGTATTAATTTTACTATGATGTGTTTTTTTTTTTATTTTTTTATTTTTTTATTTTTTTTTTTGTGTCTGTGAACGCTCAATCTCAGCTCTCGCTGGACCGATTTTGATGAACAATATGTCAAAAGATCACAAATCGTATCTAGTTGAAGACATTACCCTCAATAACTNCGAAGACATTACCCTCAATAATTGAAAAAAATTCCCTCGTTCCCCGTAAACGGGGGAAATAGCTTTTGGAATAATCCACCAATTTTTTAAAATTAAACACTATCTGTAGATTAGCATCGAAGCGTTTTTTTTTTATAGTGATTTTAATCACTGTCAGATATCATTATACTTGACCCAACTATACCACGTCACCACTGTGCCGCGACACCCCTGTGCTGGGTTTTTTTATATTAAAATAATACATTTTTATTTTAATGTTTAGTAAATGAATAACTATCATATTTATAACCTGGAACTACTAACTTTTACTGATACTAAATTTTAGTATTAATAAAAGCGTCAACCGCGCAATTTTTTCTGTATGCTATTTAATTTTGATATTTAAATATTGAATAATATAAAAATAGAGATCGTATAATTCAAACGGTTTTCAGGCTATTACATTTGTTAAGATTATTTGTATATTATGTTCAATGTATTTAATAATGACGGTCATAAGTAAGTATTTGGTATCGGCTCATTTATCAGCGACGTGCAATGCGGACTACCGATCCCTTTTGTCGCAGGTTCAATCTGTTTACTACTTGCATATTCCTGCACCAAAAAACGCAAAAATAAAGTCAATTCTTGTAGATGAAATACAAACTATTCACGTGCTTACTTATTTTTTCTGCGAATAAATCTATTTGAAACGAATGTGCATTTAACGTTTTGACACTGAACACACTTTCCACGCATTAGAGACTTTTGATTACTGGTCAAGCACAGCTTAGGCGAGTTGAGCCATTTTGTTTTTTCTTGACACTTCACACAGTATGTATTGAAATACAAATTTGACATTTTTCGATTAAAAAAAAAATTTAAAAATGACAAACAAACAAGTTATTCTGAAAGACTGTCGTGGAATAACAATATATATTCTTTTAATTTGTAGTATAATAGTAAAATACCTATTAACAGCTAGTTATTAGCCAACATTTTGCTTTATTAGAAATATTTATATAACCGTTTATAAATAGTACTAATAATATAATTGCAAAACAATACAACTAAAATAGTAATTTAAAAATTACATTGAATAATATCCAATGCGTTTGACGAGTTTAATTTTACAAAATTCAATAATATTATCTAAAAAACTTAAACCACAAAAAACGTACAACCTTTTTATAATTTTAATCTCATTTTATCAAAATTTTACCACCAATTATTCTTCCAATGATACCGTAAAATAAAAGCCATAAAGATGCAATCTTAAGTTAATAATTATAAAAAAAATTTTTTTTTAAATAATTTAGAAAACCTTATTTTGATTAACTTAAGTATTTTTTAACATTCACTATTCTGAGTCTATTTAAAAATCATGTTAATGAATATATAAGTTATAGATGTGGGAATCTTGAGTAAGTGAAATTCTGAAATGAGTATAAACTTTTATAACTACTACCATTTTTAAGACGAGTGGCTCATTTTTTTAATTTATCAAGAGCCATACTAAAGCTAAATACAACACTGAAAATGGACATCATATTATGACTATCTTACTACATTCAAACGTATGAACTTTGGTAAACATCTTCCTTGAAAAGATGAAATCAAAGATATGGAAATAAAAGATGGGTGAACTTGCAAAAGAGTTTGGGCCTTTGACACATATAAGTTGTCAGCTTCAAATACAGATAACGTATGTTTAACAAATCTTTTGGATAACGATTATAAACAATAGACCAATAGATTTGAGTAATAAGGTGTAATCTTATTAACTTAATATGAAAATATATTCAAACAAATAATTTGTTATTTCGCAGTTTTTTTTCTTATATTGTTTATTTTTTCGTGCGTATTTAAAACAGAAATGTCTTGGACATCTTTTTGTGGAGTTGAAAAAAATCAAGTTTGTTTTAGAGTTTTATTTTTAAATATTTCTAATTCTTCAGTAATAGTACTTTTATTTTGGAGGGTGCAATGAAGTATTTAATTTTATGAACAAATTATCGTTTTTGTCAAATTTATATGTAAAATAATCTTTACGTAGTTGACTGGTTTATTCAAAAACCTAATTATAGTATCTCAAATACACTTATCACAGTATTACAAACCCAACATGACCAATTACATAGTAATGTAAGATTAATCGGTCAACAATTTTAATGTTTTGAATTATTGCCAAAATGAATCGTATACAATGTCCAATATTTCCTATTCTGCATTCAACTTATGAAAAACCCACATGTTTTTTTTAATTTCTAATGCAGGGTTTAATTTATTCAAGTATAACTAATTAAATATCCTATTTATTTAAATTAATTGCATATTTAGTACATTATTCACAACATTTTTTGCTTTGAAAATTCTAGTATATAACATATGATACAAAAATTTCACACTTCACTCTTTTTGACCACTTGAAGTGTAATAAAGATGCTGTAAATATGTGCTACTTGAGTAGGCATATAAAAATATTTATTATTCAAATACGATTCTTTGCATAACAGCAGTAACAGTTTGGTGTTTTCGCATAAACACCAATATTCTTCACTCTTTTTTTTATTAATCATTTGAAAAACATTATTTTTTACAATGCAGTATTATTTTGATAGCTAAAACTAAAATAATCATTCATTGTAAAAAAATATAATCGTATAAACCTACTGATCTATTAAATTGTTTTTGATATTCCTCCTTACGTTTATTGTAAGAAAAAAGTTAATATCAATAAACTTGATTATTGTTCAAATGAAGTTGTTTTGAGATAAAAAATATCTGTTTCAAGTAAACGGTTAATATATATAAACAAATGTTTGGATAGTTAATTTTGTAAACATAAAATATGTAATATAAAGAACTCTTGTAGCTTTAAAATATTTTTTTTTTTTATAAAATATGCATAGAAATCTGTTAGAAGTTAGATATATATATTTAACCCTAATGATAGGTGAAAAACACATCCTAAGTAATAGCCGTAAATGTGTAAAATTGGTGAAAACATTTAAGCAAAATTAAATTTATCTAACAAATTCTTTAAACATTTTTTTTAATCGGTAAGATATTATCTTCTAGGTTCATATGTTCCATGCAAAATCATATATTTATTTATTTAAGTACTGACATACTATTTCTTTTTTATAACCATAGCAAATATTTTATTTCGCTGTTATGGAAAATATAACGTTAGTTTATTTTAAAAAAAAAACTACACATATTTTTTAAGATATTTAAGGAAAATTAGTTTTTTATTAGTTGTTCTATCGCAATTAAGAGGTAAAATATTTATGAGCAAATGACATAAAGAATTTACTATACAAAATTTTTAATATTGTTATTGTAATTTCGGATGGCTAACAACAATGGAATGCCAGGCAAACTGAGGGTGTGGTTTACGATTTACATAATTTAAATAGGAAGGTAAAATTTGTAAAGTTTTATATCTGTTCTAGGAGAGTAGAGCTGAAATGGAAATTCGATCTTCTCATCTGGATCCTGAGGAGATGTTGTCAGCTTTACGGAACGCTGACCAGAGGGCTGTAGATATTGCTAACACTGTCATACGATTGAATAAACAGTTGACAGCACTACAAAACGTGAGTACCCTCCGGAGATTTTCATTGGGCCTGTTTTAATAAGTGACCTGCAATATTCACAGAAACAAAATTTATCTGATTCTGAGAAGAACGAAATGTGTATCATTGAAAAATCCCTCGAAGAAACTTGTAGTGAGTATAGAACCACAGTAAAACAAACTTTAAACTTAGCTGAGATGGTTAATTTTGATTTGAAAAATCTCGAATATCGCAAGATTAACATGAGCAAATACATAAACGTTAACGCGAATACAGATGTATTGACAGCAGTTAGAGGAATAGTAAGATATATTTACAAACAATAAAACATTTTTTCAATTAGTGGTGAGGTTTTATTCATGCATAAACAAATTAAATTAAAAAATAATATTACATAAATATAGCACATTTCAAAACTAAAGAAGAAAATTTTATTTTTTATTTTGCTCAAGTAATTTAGATGAGTTACAATTATATTATAATACCATATTTTTAAACTAAATTTGACACACCATGAATAGTATAAAAATTAAATATGAATTTTAGATAAATTAATAAACATTAATGTTATTTAAAGAAAAATTAAAATCATGAAGAATTGTAGATTTTACTTTATTTACGAGTTCAACTAAATAATCATAACAGATCACTTTACGATATAATTTTAAAATTACTTTAACAAGACAATAATTATTATGTCTTGTTTAAATCACATCAAACGATGTAATATCAAGTGCTCATGTCATAAACTGAATTTAAATTATAAAAAGTTACAACATTATTATGATGTAGAAATATTTGAACATTTTTTATTTTTTCATTAAACGTTTATCGTTAAAACATTAAGTGAACATAATATTAAAATTTATAATTTTTAAATGAAATCAGTGTTAGATCGTTTGGAAATTTATGTGTCATTTTGGTTAGGTAAATAATTTATAGAATTAATACCATTAATATTTATTAATACAATAATTTTATTTTTTAGAAAGCAGATTCTGTACCAGAAATGTTTAAGTTAGAAAAAGGTCTGACACCGCATAATTTATTTATGTGTGACCGACTAATACAAAACCAAAGTTCTTGGTCAACAGATAGTGTAAGACTATATTATTTAATTTAATACAATTTATTTATCAAAGTAAAACAGTACGAATTTGGCATCTTTATATTTATTGATAGAATGAAAACGAATCGGATTGCTCATGCAGCTCAGGATCAAATGATGTGACTAGTAGTAGCCCCAAGGATACTACAAATGTCGAAAAACAACCGAAATGTAATACCCAGTCTACAAACAAGTTAATGGTAGATTTGGAAAGAGAAAATGTTAGAGATGAACTTATGTTAATGAAAGGTGAAATGAAAATAGTTCTTCAACAAAACCGTAAACTACTCAATAAGCTGAATTGCGCGGTAAGATGTATTGAATTTAAGGCTTTATCTAATTAGAACACAATTTTAATAATAACGAAGAGTAAATTTTTTTTCCAATGTTATCTCAAGCTGATATAATCTGATGTAACACAGCAAAACTGAGAGCTTTAAAGTAATGTTTATTTAACGTATAGTTGAATAAAGAGCAATTTTTGATAATTGTCTTCGTAGCCAGGAATTCATAATGGGAGGCCATCGTAAAAAATCTACGAAATTGCAAAATTTTGTTTTAGGGATGACTATTGATGTCAATAGGAGATCGGGTCCCCTTTATCTCTCCTGGCTACATTGCTATGTACAATAAACAATATTTTATATAATCTCACCAACAGCGGAGATTGATTGCATTCTGACATCACTATACAGACTTGATTAGTAATGATTATAAAAATATATTTGTGTATTAAAAATGTTGATTGTACTTTTTGAGTTAATATATTTCATTTTTATTTGGCAGTATTAAAGTATATTTTTCAAAGAACACTTTTAATTGAAATTAATTGATTAATTATTAATTTAACTAACTTTAATTTTAACATTAGGTAAAAATTAAAACAATACGAAAGTAAATCATTTTGATTAATGATGTAATTTTTTCTATAAAGGAAAATAATTTGTTGTAAAAAGTTTTGTTAAGCAATACGATTATTACACTTACACTCTTCGTAATTCCATGTAGATTATCTCATCTGTCATAACTTTATACATAATACAACTGTTTACCTTTTACTTTAGAACGAAAGAACACTCGTTTTGTCAAAAGCATTGCGAAGCAAGGTAAATATGTCTATAATTTATTACCATAAGCAGTAGCAAATGCTATTATTACATTACTTAAAATTACAAATGATTTGCTGCAAAATATATACTGAATTAGTAGGTAATTCGAATAGATACTTAATTAAATAATTATCATTATATACAGTTCCCAATGTTCGAGTGCGGAGAAAATGCTGATGACGAAGATGAAGAAAACAAGGAAAAAGTAAAGTTTTAAATTATCTAAACGAAATTATTTTTACAATGAAACAACATTATAGGCAAAATATAAATCAAAAATGCAAACACTTATGAACGAGATCGATCGTTTGCGTTGTGAACTGAAAGAAGTTAATCGTGATCGTTGTCAAATAGAACTAGCCAGGAAAGTGTTAAATATATCTGATACTCGATGTGCGGTCAGTGAAAACTAGTAAAACGTTCAAAGTTTAATTAGTAACGGTTAAGTTGATTTTTGGTATTTAACAGAATTGCGTAGGATTGTCGGAAGACGACGTACAGTGTAGTTTGAAACTTAAACATTTAACCGAAGTTAATGCGAAATTATCAGCAGAAAATGAGTAAGTGTCGTTTAAGGAGTTTTCGACAATTATATAGAACATTTAATGTACAATAGTGCTAAAACAGCCGAAATCATGGACTTGCGGCAAGAACTTGCTCGTGTAAAGCATGACTATGAGACTTATGAAGAACGTCTAAATATGAGTAAAATACAGGTGACTCAACTTGAACAAAAATTGTTTGAGTTAAATTCAGCAAAATCAGTGGTAAATATAACAAAATATCTAATAAAATTTTCGAACAGATAAATTTTTACTAGTTTTATAAACTTTACTGAAGGATCCAGAATTAGAGCATTCAAATAATAAGTATATAATTGAAAATCTAAAACATCAATTACAAGTAACTAATGATGATAAAACAAACCTCCAAATGGTTTTGGATTATCATCTAACTGAATTGGAGGACAAAAAATCTAAGGTAAAAACTATATCCTGACAATTGAAACATAAATAATGTCAAATCTTACAATTAAAATTTCATATTATTAATAAACTTTTAATAATAATTCTAAATCATTGTAAGATTTCAAATAAGCTTTAAAAACAAGTCATTACGTCGTGTGTAAAACTAATTATTTGTTCTAATATGTATTGTACACTCTGTAAATTTTAATTAAAAATGCCTGCTAAGTCATGTTAGAACGTAGATTTTCTCGATTTAAAAAAAGGTGAATTGTTAAATTTAAGTATAATTTACTTATTAATTCAAGCATTTAATATACAGAATGATTTAGACCACTTAATTAATCGAAATATAAAAATATCAAAAATATTTTATTGGTTTCTTTAAGTTAAATATTATTCTCAATCTATCAGTCATGAAGTATTTTTTATATTCATCCTTCATATCTTATTAGAGTATGAACTTTAATTTTTCAGCATACATAATTAACTAGCTATTTATTTGATAATGATATAATTAAGAAATTGGCTGATCAACAAGAACTTTTGAACCAATATTTTAGAATTTATTAACGTTTTTATACCTAGGTTAGAGATAGAGTGAGGTTGAAAATTTACTTATAATAAAATGATACAATCCCACTCTATGTATTAAAATATTTCTAGCTCAATAAGTACTTATCCTAATGTTGTTATTGATCTATCAAAATTTATTGCAAGATGAGCTTTAAAACAATTGCTATTTTGAAGTTATGAAAAAATAAAAAATAATGATTTTAACATTATGTAAGAATGAAAAATTGTTCAAAAAAAATTAAAATGAAATGATTATTAAGTCAAAAGTTATAAGAGTTGTCAGTTAGATCTATTCCATCCCTTATATGTTCCTATTTGCAATATTAAAGTAATCACCCGTATAAGGCATAAATGATGAACATAAAAAATACTACATGACTGATAGATTGAATAAAATGTGTACCCAAAAATAAACCAATAAAAAATTGTTGATATTATTATTATACTTCGATTAATTAAGTGATTCATGATAAATGTAAAACCCCGTATACCTTTAAATTATTCTACTGCTTTTGTATGACATAGGATCTTCATAGTTAATATATCATATTAAACTCAATCTAATTATTCATCCACTCAGGACTAACAAATTTGAAGTAAATTATTTTTAGATTCATCAAAAAATTTTAAAGTTGACAAAAATTTGACTTTTAACATTTAAATTACCATAAATACTATATTAGTTTTTAAGAAGAAAATAAATACGACCATTGATCTTAGGCGATTTCAAATGAAAAATTACTTAAAATAACATGCATTATACATTATTATATTAGAATGTATTCAAATATAAATTACATATACATAGAACAAATAATAAAGTTTTCAACAATAAAAGTATAATAAACGATAAAAAATAATTTATGCCATTGAAATTTATTACGTTCAAAAATATAGATAAATATTACTTGAAATCGTAATTACTGACCGAAATACTTTTCAATTTTTCTTACAATAACCATAATCTGATGTATTAGTTACTACACTTTTTTTTCATAGTACTTAGCGGTACTTCAAACAAACGAAGAACAAAAACTCAGAATTGAAATGTTGTGTAAAGAGAAAAAAACGATATCAACAGAACTGGAAGCTGAACTCAATCGTATGAAAGTAAGCTTTTTAATGCATTTTTTTCAGTATTTCTTTTGGTGTTTTTTCGAATCATTTAACGTAGTAACAGTCCATTTTTGTAACTAATAATATTAAGGCAAAATCAATATGTGGGAATCATCTAAGTACAAACCTACATTCCAAATACATTTTTATTTCACAATGTAGTACAATTATACGTTCAAACACATTTTAGAATGTTATATGTAAGAATTTTACAGAAAATCAATTATTTAATTAGATGAGTAAATTAAAATAATTGTAAAAAGATTTACTAATAAAACTTAGAATTTCAAAGATAAATAACCGAATATTTGAGTAATTAGACTTTTTTTTGTTGTTGTCTACTTATAGAATATTGTGACTTTTTCGAAAAATTAAGGATTTTGTAAAAAAGTTTCGAAACTTGTCATAAGTTTTTAAAACAAAAAAGTGGTGAGGTTTAAATAGCCTAAAATCAGATTTTTAACCTAAACTTTCGGAAAACTCGTAAACTTTTGAAGCTCTTACGAAAACTCTTACTTATTACAGATTATTATTTATTACTACAACTTGCAAATATTTTTTAGAAACCTTAAAATATTCTATCCCCATGGGCGATATCATAGAATAGTGTGATGGGAAGGTGTAATACTCCCCAAAACGTTCATCAAAGTCGTCATTGTAGTGATAGACATTTTTAAAATAAATTGTGTACATTTTTACTCATTAAGGTATTTGAGTCATCAAAATTTATTACAAAAATAATCTCTAAGGTCAATCCTGTTAATTCCTTTGATTAGACGATCAAATAACGGGTCAAAAAAATTCTTTATAGAAATTTAAAGTTTTAAATTACAGAAATTCCATTGCGTACTATTTAAACATACTCTAACTCTGAAAAATGCTACTTTTTACTACTTTCATATCTCTAAAATACAGGTAAGAAAAAATCTATGTGAAAAAAGGTTCCTAAAATCTTGAAAATATTGTTCGAAGTTTTATGAAAAATAAAGAGTAAATACCAAAAATACTTTTTAAATGTACAAATAGTTTTAAAATCCAGATGCTTATCTATCACATATGTATTTTAAAGAAACGTAAATTTTTTAGATAATATTAGTAATCTCAAAAGAATATTTTGGACATTTTTTCTAAAAAAAAGAAATTTGTTAATATTGATATTTATTTAATAAAGCATAAGTTATTTTAATAATTAAAACTTGAATTCCCTTAAAAAATAAACATCAGAAGGCAAATAAGTTATTTAAAGAAAATTGATCAAATTAAAGTATTTTATAATTTATTCAGCTTATATAAAAATGTTTTTATCCAATTATATAACGAAATTTCAATTTATTTAACGAATAACTACTTTTAAATAACTAAATATAAAAAAGCATACTATTTTTGATTGAAAGGACAACTTTCTATTAGCATAGGCCCTTGAGAAATAAATCGATTTAATTTACGCTGCTTGAACCCTCAAAGAATTCATCGTGAATAATGCCTAACGTCAATCATGAAGAAGTGTAATCGAATGTCATAGAATTGATCGAAAGAGATTTATTATTTGATTTTTTATGCAAAAAAAAATAAAGTTTATATGTTATGATCATATTATGAAAAAATAATCAAAAATAATAATGTTTTAACTTACAATTTGTGACTAATTTGAAGTGTCCAAATTATTTTAATATTTTTAGTTATTAATGGTAAATTTTCTTTAGGAACAGTTTAACAAATGTCTCAAAGAAGTGAAAACCTTACCAGGTGCTTTGGCTGCTTCACAGGCTGAATTAGAAAAAGAAAGAAGTTTAAAAGAGATGGTTGAAAAAGAACGAGATCATTATGCCAGTGAAATAACTTCCTTGGTAAACATTACGTAAAAGTATGAAATATTTTTTTCTTATTATGTCTAACAAGTTATATTCAAATGTTAGAAAAAAGCTGCTGATACGGAAGACTACTCATTAAATGTTGAAAAGTACAAAAAACTTGAAGAAGAAAACAGGCAACTGAAGTACGTATAATAATCCTACTAATTATTTACACAAATTATTACCTTAGTTCAAATAATTTAAAATTCAGAATTTATTTTTGAACAACTGATTTTTACAAAATGATGAATTAATATTTAGAGCTATATATAGAGTATATGGAGGTTTTTTTAAATTAAATTTGATAATGTGTACATAAACATATTATTATTATTTTTTAAGATTTGTGGTATAAAATAATGTAGTCACAAAAAAATATTAAAGAAATAAAATATGGTTATCGTTATGGTAATTGGTGAAGAGCTTAAAGAGCGTGCGAATAAATTTGGAAGTATTAGGGAAATTACTATTTGTACAATTTTAAAAAATTCACTTTTTAATAATTTAATTTTTTTTTTTGAGTATTACAATACTTATATATTTCAATAATCTCCACTTACTTCACTTGAAGCATTTAAAGTATTCCAACATTCGTACAAGTAAAAATGTTTTCAACATACATCCAAATGGGTTTATGATTATAAATATTTCCCAATGGTTCGCCCCTAATGTTTAAAATGCCTTATATTGCTTACATTTATTTTAATGGGAGTGATCTCAAGTAAAATAAATATTTATTAATTTTATTTCATAAATAAAATTTCAGTAATAAATCATTACACTTAATTAAATAGGCTTAAAATAATATCGATTACATAATATAACTGATAATGAATACTGTTTTCTAAGACAATGGCTAACTTGAACTTCAGTACTAGAACATTTTAAGGTTTCTTTGCGAATAACTCAGTATAATACCTTATCTCTTACTTTATTTACATGAAACGTAATAACCGTGGTATTACTTCTAAGAATAAAGACTATATTTTAAAAAAATGTTCAATAAAAGTTTACATTATACTTATCGGTGGGTAAAATTGATTGTTATCGACAGCTAGATAAAAATGAATAATTTATTCTTATTTATGGTCAAATTACATTTACTTTACGTATTTCAATTATGGAGTTAAAAATTGACGGGAATAAAATTAAGGCATGATGAAATACCATTGTTATAACCTAATTATTCATTGTTCAAAGATTTGTTTGTTGTTTATCCTCATTTACTGTAATAAAATTTATGACATTTATAAATAAAAAATGCAATAAAGTTAGTGGGACATAATGAACTACACCCAACCCAAAAGTAAAATTATTATTCCATACATTTGTAAATGCGTATTTTTTAGCATCACAATATTTATATCTTATAATAAAAAAAAAATTCGACATTTTATTATACTATAAATTATGGATCACTGATGATAATTTATTGAATTCACTTGTGCCGCAAAACTTCTTTAAAATCGATATTTTAGTTTTTAAGTTAATTTTTATGACTAAACAAAAAAATTACAACCAATTATATAGTGTAAATATTTATATTTATATAGAGTGTTTAGTAAGTATGAAAATATATCAATTGCTATAAACAATGAGAACAATGGAAACTTGTTTCATTACATACTGAACACCTTATATATAATACACTGTATATTAGTCATTAATTAGCTATTTTAAATGCAATACATTATTGCGCCAATTAAGAATAAATTAGAATATTAAAGGAATCAACATTTTTTTATCGCATTTTTATAAACTTTTCAGCATTTAATCCAATCAAAACCAATAACTTTAGAAGATATATTTTTTTTTATTACAATGATAATTACCAACCGTATTTGCATCATATGAGATTTGTTTAATAAAAAATTCCATTACTTTTATTTATATTTTATTTGTAAATATATATTTGTTGTCGAAATTATTTACCTATCCAAGGCAGAATACATAAAATTTTATATTAATAAACTACACAAAAGTTAACACGATGTCAACTCCAATAAAAGCATCAATAATTCATGACGTAGTAAGTTGTATATTTCGATCATGAACAGTGTAAAAAACAAGTTCCCTTTAAATTATTCTCAAATACGTCCATAGAATTACAAAGTTTAAAGGATATTTTTAAGTGGATAGCACCAAACATGTTACTTTTTGTATAAATAGGGTTAATAAAAATACATTATCTCTTAAAAAAGTTCTCAGGAAGTACAGAACGATACCCAATAAGGCGTATTGTTCATGTATAAATAGGATTCACTTGTCATATATTTATATTATTATTAGTATTTCCACGTAGGGCATACTCATTACTAAACTTTTATTTGAAAACATACATATAAGTCTAACTAAAAACTTGTTACGCGATATTCAGTACTACGTATGTAAAATATATACAGGAATTAATTATTTAGGTTCTTCAAGATTAATGAGTTTTTCAAACAATTCTGTTGTTTGAACATTGTTTCCGTAGAAATAATATTATAACGGGCCTCGTATCATTATTTCCTAGAGCCACGGTGATGACTTTAGAAGATGCTTTAAGCATAAACAAGCAACAATATAAGGAGCGCACTCACTATGCGTTGCAGTTGAAGGAACACTTAGACACGGTCAGACAAGAGGCTGCCATACAGGTGACGAAAATCAAAGATTTTGCTGAATGCCAGAGAGCTAAGTCTATAGAAGAAATACACAAGTTAGAACAACAATTGGCTGAAACGCGAGCAATGACTTGTTGTGAATATAAAAGACGTGATAACGTAAGTATTGTTCTTTCTTTGACACAAAATCAATACCTTTTTATATGAACTTAATCGTAGATCGAAGAACAAATGAAAAAGCACGTGTTAACGTTAACTACAAACTTAAACGAAGCACAAAAACAGGTTGAAAAGCTCCAATGGGTAAAACAATTTATAGAAACAAATGATAAAGACTTTTGCAAGAAACCGCGGGACTTGACCGACGACTACCAAGTTCCCAGTAGTTTAGAAATACCATGAACATTTATTACCGGTTAAAAAGTTAGCCATTTCTATGTTGTTAAAACACTAAGTCAATTTTCATTATTTATTTCTTGTTAAACTACGATAAGTACAATAAAGATTCTCTGAAGTTGTATTACTTCCATACACCAAAACAAACATTAATATCATAATATGTCATTTCCTTCCAATGTAACATTATTTAGCAACACTGCAACTTAAAACTGAAATACGAAATTAGCCTGTGTACAGCATTATGCATATTTTGATTAACACATTACTCTTTTTTACATAAATAAGCATCTTAAGCAATGAAAACTTTTAAGTGTTAAGTGAAATCAGTAATCTGTGTAGGACGCATACAGTTCTAAAAAGAGCAGTTTGAAAGTAGTTAGGACATTAAAATCAGACGCACGCACGATTCCTTTTAGTGAAATGGAAATATATTATTATAAAGTTTTACAATTACACAGGTACGCCCTAATCATAGACAAAAGTAAGTATTCCATACTCGTTTCGCAATTCAAGTAGTTTTTGTAATTTTAAAAACCAAAAAAAAATATTTCTTAAAATTTTAAATAATAAACACAGTATAATTTTTACATTAAATTTAATACTCCTAAAAAGTAATTAGGATTCATTAAAATTTTTTTACTGAAACATAATTATTATTTTAGAAATTTAATTAACTTTATTCTTTGATGAGTAATCATTTTTGTGAAAATTCCCTACCTGAGTGTGGTTAAAACAATTATTTTGTTTGTAGTCAGTGAAAAATATATGTATCACTTTTTTTATTTTAATAGTATGAAATGAGTATTTCTATTAGGCACAACTAAATATTACTACGTGATCAAATTGTTCGGTAACATCAAAAATATGAATATAAAATGTTGCGTAGAAAACCTTTACACCCTAACAAAAAAATACTTCACTTTATCACATTTTCCCTAGGACTTATATATCAATATCCCCACCCCTCCATATTAACTATCCAATAGATTTTCTTTCTAGAATTATTTAAGTGTAACTATATATATGGTGTTAATTTAAATTAAAAGAATATTATAGGAACAAGCCTAATATACATTATATTATTCATAAGAACAGAGTACTTGAAAATTAATGTGTCCTGTAGTCTATAGTGTATTAAGATTATCTATGAATTGTTTAGACATTCTTTATCTGAGTAACTAAACTTATTTGATTAACTAAAACATAATAGTAAAAATGCATTTATTAGGCAAAACATTTACGAAAAACATAAATTTATGATATTTATATAAAGTAAACAAATCAACCACACTTTATTAGAAAGCGGTTATTATCTGATTATGAAGGTTAGATTGGTCGCAATTACAATATATATTGTTAACAGTGTATAACATATATTATTAATAAATAAAAATCCTTCTTTTGTTAGTTAGAAAATGGAACAAATCATTTTTGAAGGATAATTATATGTAATTTATTGCAGTATATTTTAAGTTTGGTATGGTTACCGCTAAAAGTACGTGTATTGTGTTGGTAACTATGTCAGGAGGACTCAGAATACAATACTATAGTCTTCTCACAAAGAAAAACGGTATGTAATTTTTTAAAGACACGTGTTTTTAGGTGATTTTTAAAAATATTTTTATAACAGCAGCATCCTTGTCAAAAGCAATTTTGTACTTAAAATATTAAAAAAAAAAAACGAATAGAGGAACATATACGCTTTTCTTGTAAATACATTTAATTACAAATAGTATAGAACAATAGCCTTAAAATGTTTAGTTTCAGGTAGATTCATTAAACTAGAAGTTGAGCTGCTTAATATTATGCACTTATACGACATAAATTTCTCTAAAACGCCTTTCACTCTAACTAAACTTCATACAATATGCTCAGAGCCAAACTCAAAATAAAAAAAGAGGCGTTGATTTTGTAAGAAATAACAAGGGTAGTCTAAGCCAACATTAACAGAAAAATCACTACCGAAACGTCATACATATTATTCTCAGGCTCGATTATGGTTACTTTACACGAATACCTACATTTCGAACATGTAACTCTATGAAATGCAATAAAAACCCTATACACATACATACTCGGGCATACCATATATATGTATTTTTGACCAATAAAACACAATACTAACGAATTAATTATAAAAACATGAACACATTTAAGTAGGATTTTTATTATGATAATAACTTAAGCATTGTAATTAGTATTTTTTTGATATTATTTTTTGCATCACATTAAATAGCAAAGTTACTTCCTATAATTAAATTTTAAAAATTTACACACTGTTTGAATAATTTGCTAGTGCGTTGAAACTTATGTTAATATTCTGCAATTTAATGTAGTCTATTGAAATAAAACTTGTATTAAATTGCTTTTTCCATTTTCCATAAATACAAATATGTCAATAACATCCGAAATACGGATCCAAAAGTTGTTATCGACCAGTGTTTTTCCTAATTAGGTCATTATCTAGTTAATAAGTTACTTAATTAGTGGGATTGCTATTTAAAAAGTTAAAGTTAACACCCTTATCAGGTATAAAAGATGAACATAAAAAAAAACTTAATAATTGAAAAATTGAGAGAAACATTTAACTAAAAGAAAGAAATAAAAAAATTATTAATATTTTTTACTTTTCGATTAATTAAGTAGTTCATGATAAATGAACAGTCAGTATATGTATATAAAAGTAATTTAGACACGAAAAATCTGTTTTTTCTACTTTTTGTTTTTTTTTAATACATGTAATAACCAAAAACGATGTAATTATAAAACATGTGTATTTGCCCATACAGGAATATATTTTATTTCATTTTTATTAATTGTATTCCAATAATTTCATCACAGTAAAGAAAACTCTCATATGTGTGATAATGTGAGAATGAATAAGTAAATGAAAAAATCTTGCCTTATTAGGTTAAGTTTTTATATTAATTTAATATAATATAATACGGTTCCACAAATGATGTAGCTATTTTACTTCGAGCCGGTTAATAAATATAGTGTGTGCGTGCATGTGTCTATGTGTACAATCATATGAATGTTAAATAGACAAGTGTACCATTATATTAATTAGTCGTTACTCAAACGTTTTGTCCGAGAAGAGAAGAGAAGAAAATATACATACACTTGAGAACAATCTATAGAAAATGATAGCGGAAAATTATTTAACCTTTTTTTCTTTTAAACAATTTTAATTTAGCAAGGATTAAATGTTTGAAAACTTCCGTGAATTTTTATACTTCAAAGGAAGTAACATAACATAGCCATTATATCATTACTCATCCACAAGTTTTATGAGATTTAATTTTTCATTTATTAAAAACAAAAGCATATAATAAAACTTTAATAAAAGGCGATTATTCAAAAAAACGATTAGTAATGGCTTGTTAACATGTCAACGTGAAATTATATCTCAGGAGCCATTTCGAAAAATACAAAGTACCAAGTCCGATCAATACTAAAAGAAAGTTGGTTATTATTTTCATAAAGTAGAGGATACGATTCAATTTTGGTCATAATTCATCATCGCTCGCAAGCAGTAAGATTTTTGAGTATCGTCCTGATAATTAAAAAAAAAAAAAAAAAAAAAACCTTACTAAAATACCAACTAGTAACGCAAAATATTATATTAAATTTATTTCCAAAGTTGATTATTTTGCACTGTATAAATATTTGAAGTGTTGCTACTTAAAACGCATATACATATATCGTAATGTTATTATTGATTAAAGATAATGTATGCTCGCACTATAATTTATCATAATAAATTAGTTTGAAACATATTATTAAACAAATAAGCACGCATACATCTACATTTTTATGCTTATAAACAGTAAAGTAACTACTGGCAGATAATAATATATTGATAACACGCCCGCCTCGAGCCTAGACAGATATATAACGGCTATAATAGCGTTGTGCAATATATTAATAGGAGCACGTGCTTAGATCCTTAACGCATGGCATAAAGTTTTAAAGCCAATTATTACTCTAGATCAACGGATAAATACCGTCTTCATTAATCCTAGACATTTATTTCGAGCGTGCTTTCCTGGTTTTTATACAGCAATCGTTTTTTCTCAAATGTTTTTTGATACATTTGTACTAATACACGGTGACCAAAGAAAAATATTTCTAAACACTCGGCAAAGTTATTAAGCCGTAGCCAAGAGAATGATGACAATTAATGAGAAGCGCATGTAGGTTTACGACATTGTTGTGACTAATCTTTCGTTCGGATATAATAGTGGTTATCTATAGGTCTACGGTTGTTTTTGGCGAAAGGGTTTTGTTTGTCGTTTCCGTTTCCATTGTCAAAAGAACGTCCGCTTGCATATTAATGATTTGAATTATTTCGTTCTCTCGAAAAAGGTATCTACACCCTCGCTTGTCATATCGTAAAAGGTTTTGTCTACTTGTGTAACTGGTATATTGTTACTGTCAAGAAGGGCTTGACGTACACTGTACAAAGGTGATGGGAATCCTGACGGGAAAAGTTCTGACTTGATTAAAAATATTGACAAATGAAAATAAAATCGAAAGATACCAGAACCTGTCAAAAATGCGCTGGAGCAGGAAAATGTGGGATTGGTTGGTGATGTATAACACCGGAATTCCACAAGGGAAAAGTAGTGGTCGGATCTACTAGGATATAGGCTATACGCTTTAGTAGCCCCAAATGAGTGTTTTTTGTTTTGTCATTATGGAAGTAAATTTAACGTGAATAACACTGTTTTTGAAAGAACTCTAAGGACTTCCTGTTTTAATTATTTAAATAACTGAGCTTGCTATCTTTGAGGTCTAAGCTTCCATTAGTCAAACTCTTAATAATACGACTGTTTTGAACTTACTATACTTGGTAGAAATTTACTTTGAGAAGATAATCTACCTCGTTTTTTTTTATCACATATCTGGATTATTTTTATTACTTTTTTGTTCTTTTGATTGAAAATATTTTCAATCAATCAATTTTACAGTTAAATATATATATAGAGTTCTATATATAAATGTAGAGTGATTTTTTTAATGGGAACACATATTTTGAATTTAATAAAATTTTTGAGTTTTTAATGTAATAGTAAATGACATATAAATTTTTA